CTCTTACCTTGACAGGTAGGTTTGGCTCTGTCCCATTCTGGTCTCTTGCTGTTGCCCATGACACATGTGAGTGTAGAGTGGCCCTGAAGGAGGTAGCCAGCCTCACAATGAAATGTCACCATGGATCCCAGCTTGTAGTCTGTACCCATTCTAGTGCCGTTCATTACATTCCCGGGATCAAAACAGGCCTCCCGTAGTTTTGCTGTCAATCAAAATAACAAAGCTTTTACAAAAAAGACCGCTATGAAACACAAGTTAGCTCCCAGCTTTCCATAGATCAAAATAAATGGAGAACATTGCAGAGAAAGCAAGACATGCCATAATAATTAAAGATCCATATATAAAGTATGCATTTGATAAATAAGTAAAATCAAAAGATACATTCAAGGTGAAGTAACATAGCTATGTAAATTTCTAATTTTGAATTTGTTCATTTATAATTCATCCCAGGAAAATCTCCTGCTCCAACACATAGAGCTACTCAGTAAGGATACATGCAGAACCCCACTTTGGACAAGCAATTACATTACCTTTGTATTCCATATGAAAGCCAGTGTAGCTCACAGTGCCATCGCTTCGAAATGCCAAGTACATGAAATTGGAAGTGCTTTCAATCTTCTCTGGAAGTTTACTGTCTTGGAAACTGCCAATCAGGTGAGCAGTGCTATCAGGCCCATCATATATGTACAGGAAGTCATAGTTGGGTTCAATGCTAAAGCTGCAAAAAAGCATGGAAGAGAAAAAATTAGGAGTTCGAAATTATTATCTTGCTAATTTATAGACAAAGAATGTTGATTGATAGTTCTAGAATACTTTATGTGTTTTAAATGAGCATTGTTGTGCATAAAGTGAGTCAGGCAAACAAATCTCTTTGTTTTTTGTTCTCTTTGTTGACACAAAGAAAAAAAAAGAGAGATTCTAATCCAGGAGGTGAGAGGAGATTAAATTGTTGTGACACTGCAGTGGCACAAAATCTTCCCAGACGGCGATGGCAATGCGGTGTGAAAAGATCGTTTCATATTGTAGCGCTGTATATCAAATCACAGGCCGCACCAAGAGGGAGAGGAGCATTTGTTTTCAAAATAATGAGCATGGTTTATGACAAAAATGTAAATAGCTTGGAGATAATTGCATTTGAGTTAGATCAAGGCAGCTCCAATTTAAAATCATATCTTCATCCTTTCATTTGGCATTCCCAAGAGAGAGCCAGCAGGATCGTGGTAACTTTATTAAGGTTTCATTTTGAAAGGAAAAGTTGAAGAAAAGAAACCTGGAGCCCTCTTTCTACTTGGCTGCAATACCAAGGATAGTGTAGAGAGAGAAACCCCTTCCTGCTTTTGCATCTCTTCTTCAAACAAAAATATGGGTAAGGAAAGAAGTATGATTATGACAACATGCTTGGTTTGCAATTAACAATGAGAAAATTATGATCTGGGATTTGTTCAGCACTAGAAATGAGCAGCACTCATATTGCAATTCTTCCACAAAGTTTTCCCTCAGAAATCCTGGTTCACCATATTAGAGCAAAGTGGAGGGTATCCCAGCTGTCTACTGAGAAAATTAAGTATTCCATTATCTCCAAACACACCTGGTCTTAAAAGCGATCCTCTGCATAGAACACATTTCAAACTTTGCTTGGTTATGTTATAGCCGGTTCCACAGAAGAAAGCAGGCATTTCCAAGGCACATACTGATCTGCTGTGCACCCAAGGCGAACTGGGCTCATTATGACAGGCAGGTTACAAACAGAACAGGTTTGGAAAAAGCTTCATTTTGCGAGCAGGTAAACCATGTCCTCAAAAGAAAAAATATAGTTTTTCATATCATTCTTCCTCCCAACTCACACAGAAAGCTTAAACCTCTACATTGTTTTCATATTTGTATTCCATATTCACCAATGGATTAAATTGGCAGAGAGGCAAACAAACCCCAAACAATTATTTTCTGAATAACAACAATGAACACTACATGACATATTCATATTCTTTGTTAAAATTTTGAAATCCTCGATTTACCTTATAAAAGCCAGAGAAATGACATAGTCGGAGTGAACTGCAATTAGCCAGTCACAGTCTTTGCTGTGTGGGTACGGGTGTGGGTAGTTAGGGGACAGGATGAACCCAGAGGACCCCGTCACATTCCCTCCACATGGAGCTGGAGCGGTACAAGAAAAAAAAGAAGAAAGAATTAAATACATTTCATGAGTAAAATAAGTCTTTATATGTTCCTGTTCTTCTGCAAAGTTTAAGACAGACAAAAAGGAGAACAGCATGTCATTCAGTTGAAATGACAAGAGCTTTATAACCTGGTCTGACCTCTTTGCAGTGAAATATCACGGGATTTAAAGAATACTCTGCTTGACCTCTGTGATAAGGCAATAGGCAACCCAGCTACTAAATAATGAACATATCTTCACATGTCCATTACAAGTCTCTAAAACAATAAAAAAAAAAACGTATATATTTTTATCAGATGCATGCACTCTAATCTATCTATGTAAAACATTGGTGAATGAGCAATGCCAGTTACAGATTCCTATAATGATTAGCTTTCTTGTTGAGCCTCACTTAAAATATTGTTCAAATATCAAATTCATTTTTTTGTGAAAAATGATTAATTTGGGTAAAAACTTCTGCCTTTTTTTTTAAATAGGAGAATGCATATTTATCTAATTAGATGCATAAAAATGTTTCATTTCCACTCTGAAGACATTAAGTGTAAAGTGGTTTACTCCAATTAATGTTAAAGTTTTGAATAATTAAAAAAGTACTTTGATTTTAAACATTAACTTTTGTCTTTGTGTTCATGTGGATAATAGTTACAAATCCTAGTATTCAAGTAGTTTAATTCATTAGCCGACAGCTAACACTAAAAGTATATAGATGAAAATGTCTGGCAAATAAATCACCTTTTTAAAAAAGAAAAGCCCGACATACTGAGTCTATGTCAAAAACTATTTTGGGGGACTTATGTATGACCTAAATTTAATTCTGATGCTTAAATCTTTTTTCTTTAAATGTGCACTGAAAAGAATGCAAAAAGAACCCTGGTCATATTGTCATTCATGATACATTTGCAGATCTGCATTTGTTAAAATAAAAGCTTATGCTTTTTGTTTCAACTATATATAATATAATTTCATATTCATTAACAAACGTGTTTTTACAGTATCAGCTTGAAATTACTCTTGAAAAAACATACAGTTTATGGAGTTATTTTTGTGTCTTTATTAAATAAATAAAAAAAAGAAATAAAAATATTTTTTAAAGTAAAATAAATACATACAAATCATCACAAATTTTCAAATTTTCACACTGATAGCAAATCATTATGTAATTTAGACTGAAGAAAAAGTTTTGAGAAAATATTTTGTCAAACAATAAATAAAAGATAAATTAACATTTTGGAAATTATTTCGTAAGGAAAAAAACTCTCTTCAATTTATATTATTACCCCCAAAATATATATTTTTTTCCCAATAAGAGTGAAAAGATTTTCTCTGAAAAATAAATTTCTCTCCCAAAGCTTTTTTCTTTTCTCTCTCAGTCTTTGCTCTCATTTCAGGATATTTCTCTTGATGTGAAAAGTATGTCATAGGCAGGCCTGTCTTCCTATTGGACGGTTACAACAGGTGAGCTTTTATGCAAGGATTAAACTCTTTTCAGTAAAGTCGCTCCATACAAAAAAAAAAAAAAAAAGGAAAAATTTTTTCCTGCTAATAGTCTCCGCTTATCTAATGGCCAGATGTTTCTAATTATTTATTGTACAGATATGTTTACATCCCAAAATGCTTTGTGCAGAGAGATCTCCTCTCAAAGCACTATGGGATTTGCTATCTCAGCGACCCACTGTCGCCATAGGCTTTCGCTACCCAACAGTGGCGACTAATAACAAAGATGGCGAAGGCGCCACGAGGAGGAGGAGGAGTTACGTGACCAACTGAGCAAAAAGCAGTGATCATCTGTCCGAACGGTCAGTTAACTGAGTTCGCTATAAAGACCACTATATAGTCCCCTCTTTATGTGGACACGGTTAGCTTGTTTGGGCTATGAGAACAGCACATTTTAAACAGGGTGTGCACGAGAAGAAATAGGCTCATGCATGCTTTTGCATGTGCATTTTTTTTTTTAAGTGGACAGGACAGATCTTTTAGAACAACGTCCAATCCAATACCTTTAACAAAACGAATTTGTGTCAAGTTAAATGTTTGCAAATTAAAAAGCTCTAATAATAGGTAAATTTTTTTTGATTCAGTGAATTTTAGCACTAAATATAAAAAAAAAAATAAAATTAAAAGACTGTCTGGGTTGAGCTTCTTTAACATAGAAATAACACTATCTTTAAATGTGAAAAATAAATCACTTTGATTGTTTTTTTTGTAATGACTTTTCAAGAACAGAATACTTTAAAATCCTTTCCCAACAACAGAATACTGTCTCTGGATAAGCTACAAGCAACTTTTACTCCCTTAAACTACTTGGTGTAATTATTTCTAATTGCGTTGTTAAGTCATTAGCAGTTAAGCTCTAATAAGTCAGTGTGATAGGAGACTTTAGCCCTCAGTATTCAACAAGCAACTGAAGTGGATTTGTCCACATAAGAGCTGGCAACAGCTCAAACACATCTAAAGAGTCTTGTTTAACCTACATGTATTTTGAAGACACCGGTGAGAGAGGACTGCAGCCAGTTTCACTCACTCTAACTCACCCCCTTCTTCTCAGCATTTCTCATTTATTCTGATCCCCTACCTTCCTCCTTCAATCCATAGCCCCCTCTCTATCGTCTCCACACACACATCCTTCTCTCTCCAAGTCACACTATCTCCCCTCTTCCTCACCGATGCAGCTTGGAGGGCTGGGTTGCCAGTAGTATCTATTTTCCACTTGGATGCAGGTGATTCTGCTCTCTCCCTGCAATTCATATCCCGGATCACAAGAGAAGGTCACAGAGTCGCCAGGCTCTCGCCCCTCTCCATTGCGACTGCCATTCATGGGAATACCTGGATCTCTGCAGGCTGTTGCAAGTGAACCTTAAGGGCAAGCAAACAAACAGATACACACGTGTGATTCGGACAAATATAGTGGCATATGCATATGAGGATCAAGTGTCCGGGAAATCAGGGAAGAACACGTGCATGCAGACTTATATCTCATGTTAGACAGCTGTTAAGCTGAAAATGTAGCCAATGCTGAGCAAATTACTGACTGATATCAGTCAGACCACAGCTGTGCAGCAGCTCAGGGGCTTCAAGGGTGGCCTAGTGAAAAAAGGAAGAAAAAAAAACGAATTCTCATATATATTACATCTTCAAAGACTCTTTTAGCAATATCACTTCAATTCGTTAGTTTAAAACAGTTTCCTTCTTTAGATAGGAAAACGTTAATTTAATTAAAAATGAAATTATTTTCGCGATATATACAAAAAAAATTAATTGTGGTTTTGACCTAAATTATAAATAGATTTTGATAGTCTAAGGGGTCTCCTGTGAATTTCAATTTGATATATAGTTAAGGTCTAAACACACATATCTCAGGACAGCCAAAAAACAGACAGATCCCAAATGTCCCTGAATTTTACGACATGTAAGGTGTTGCAGCTCTTTGTTTAAATATTTTGAAATTAAAACAAAAATGTATGAACTCTTCATTTCAGTTCCAATGTGTGTTAAGAATTTACAGAGTGTAAGGCAAAGTATTGTTAGTGAATGAAGATTACTTTTACACATCTCTCACATCAGATTTTTTAGGGTTACTTTTGGTGTAAAAATGTTTGACTGATATCTAAACTTTGGCTGAAAACCAGAAGTATGATTCAGTACAAGGGGCAAAAAATCTAATATTATTTACATGTGTTTATTCCACAAGGTACAAGATAATTGTTTAGTGAAAGAGTGGATAACAAGGTTACTGTATGGATATCAACATCAAAAACTGCTTATCATCTTTTGTTTTTGCTGCAAAATATCTGGAAAATGATTTTTTTTTTAGTAAATGCTCTCTGACCCATGTGTCATCTTTTTTTACTTATATAATTAATGGCATTCGGGCTGAAAGAATACACTGAATGGTAGGATAACATTGAATGTTGCTCTTAAATATTTTATCAGTTTCTTAAAGAGAAATAGAAATGATCAAAACTTGGTGGCATTGGATCAAAACTTTACAAAAGGCAGAATTCTAAGGTAATCAAGGTAAGTTCTGATTGCTTTTTTTTCTTTTTCTACAAAAGAAAACTATGACCTTGAGTAAACATGTGGTGTAACAAACTTAAAAACTCAAGTAGAGTTGGTGAAAGTCAAGATGCATATATAAATAACTTTTAAAAAATCTACTGTAATGATCAGCAAACTAGGACATCAACATCTGGTGAAAGATACAAACAGCATAAAATGCAGGACACCATTTTAAAGTTAAGTTACAGACAGTAAAGAAAGAAACAGGACAAAAATAACCCTTTAAAAAAGTAATAAAATTCTTTTTGAGTATTTCTGCTAACAGGAAGTCTCAACTATCACTCAAAGATCATTTCCAGTGGGAGTAATGTCAGTGGAATAATTAGATTTGTTTATTACTCATTTTAAAATCTGAAAATAAGAAAGCCCTAGGCAAACAGTGCGTAAGTACAGTGCGTATCAACAAAATCAAATATATTTTGTTCTGCCCTGAATTCAACATAATTGATTTTTACATTAGGCGACTGTGCCTATATGGTAAAGTGAGAGTATTTTCGACTTATCATCTTGGACGCAGCATACACAGTCTTTCATTTTCCACTTTCTTGCAGGTGCTGGAGCTTTTAGACTAGTCATTAGCAGAACTCATAGAGGGCATTAATATCAGAGCCACGAGTTGCAGACAGTCAGCAATGAAGTGTAAAACACTATGGGCTCTCACTGCTTTTATTTCCACGTATGTTATTGATAAATAAGTGCTTTTTAAAATAAATGCTGACAATGACGAATTATAAGAAACAGTAAGGCTTTTTCACAATCCTAACGCCTGGCATACTTGAAGCTTTATGTTTTTATTTATGAGTTTACGACTTTTGCAACAAGTCTACCTATCAGCAAGCAAACTATAGACAGAATACTTACTTGAGAAGTCAATGGCGAAACCAGACTTGGTGATGTAAAAGTCGGTCTCAAACTGAATGGTAACAATGTTGAGAGTGGAGTGGATTCCCTCAGGCAGCAGTGATCCACTGACCTCCTTCAGAGACATCTCATTCTCAGGAGGTCCATCCCATACTTTCAGGATGTCATGAGATGCCTCTGTGTCGAATGCAAGAAACTGGAGACTGAAAGATGAACATAAAAAAAAAAAAGTAAATTTATAAAGTTTCCATTTCTATAAAGAGCTAACATCTAAAAACAAGAAGGAAAAACTTGCCTGAAAAACACAGATAGAAATCAGTAAGACCAAACTAATAGGAGAAGGCAAGTTTACTTTGAATTAGTAACTCTATGCTTTTGGGCAGTTCACATACACTTTAGAATAATTGATTTGTTTTTGACAAGGTTAAGAAATATGGTAGAGCTCATAGTGATTTACGATTCCATCAAGAAATGGCCAAGAGCAGCTCCTCTGACAAGGAGTGTCATTGTGTGGGATTTTATGAAAGCCGAGTATGTGCACTTTACCCTGTAAGCCAAAATCAGATGTATTATCAAGAAACAAGGCATTTCACTCATAAGAAAAGGAAAGCAGGGTGCAGCAGTGGTGTAGGGGTGCGCAATCCATGTAGCGACGCATTGTTGTTGTTCCTGGACACCACTGTCACAGCCTGGGGACCTTTACCACATGTTTTCACCCTACTATACTTCCATTTTCTGTCAGCCTACTATCAAAAATTAACAAAAATAGTGGCCACTAGTTCCTAAAATATTATCTCTTAAAATTAAGAAAAGGCTATCATATCCCAGGAATGTGTCTCTTGGTTGCATCTAAGTCCCGCTTCGTCGTGGTTTATAGTCTCAGGGGGAAAAATTATGATGAAATCTAACTTTGAACAAAAGTTCTTCAGGTTTTTAAATTAAATGGCAATTACTTCCATCCATCCATCCATCCATCCATCCATCCATCCATCCATCCATCCATCCATCCATCCATCCATCCATCCATCCATCCATCCATCTTCTACCGCTTAGTCCTTGTCACGGTTGCAGTGGGGCCAGGTGAGGCAGTCTATAGGCAAGAGGCGGGGTACACCCTTGACCAGGCATGCCCAAAGTCGGTCCTCGAGGGCCGCTGTCCTGCAGGTTTTAGAGGTTTCTCTGCTTTAGCACAGCTGATTCTGATGATTGCAGTTTAGCAAAAGCCTGTTAATCAGCTATCAATGTAAATCAGCTTTGCTGAAGCAAGGAAACCTCTAAAACCTGCAGGACAGCGGCCCTCGAGGACCGACTTTGGGCATGCCTGCCCTAGGCAGATCACCAGTCTGTCACAGGGCAACAGAGACTCACCAAGAAACACAACCATGCACACACACTCACATCTAAGGACAATTTAGACAAGCCAATTAACCTAAAGCCTGATTTATGCTCAGAAACCAGGCTGTCTGCATGTGTGTCGCAGTTAAAAGAAAACAATGCTACATTCGCTCTACACTATGCATAATTCCTGTACCTTACTGGCCTGTCAAAGTGCGCATTGGTCTAGTCACCATTGTTGTTGAATGACCTCTGTAACCGGAAGAGAAACACGCCACCCACAATCCAAGCTAGTTCCTGATTGTCCCTCTTGCGTTGTGGCGTGGAATAAAATGCATACCACGCTTCAAAATTGGGCATAAATCAAACATATCTGCATCATACATGCGACCAGCTAACTGCGACACACTGCTGCAGGAGTATACACAACCATTAACAGCCATATTTTTTGGACTATGGGGGACGCTGGAGAACCCAGAGAGAACCCACGCTTGCACTGTGAGAACAGTGAGCAATTGAACCTTCTTGCTGCAAGGCAGCAGTTTAAACAGACTGCACCACCATGCAGCACAGGCTATTACTAAAAAAAAAAAGTTTCTAAACTTTTTTTTATATGTCTGACATTCCAGAGCCAAAACGCAAACACGATGGTAGAGCACCAAATTTATGTAAAAAAGAGTGGTTTTTGATTTATTCCAAAATTTTTCAGTCAACATTACGAATAAACTACTGTCCTCAAGGCTTTAAATGACGGTTTTGGAAGATTTGAAATCAAATTCGGCCTGCTTTGTTATATTGCCTTATGGTTCTGTTATGTTGTGACAGCAGCCCCTTAAGTCACAATATACAATGGTCGCAGAAAAGAGGATAAACCCACGCTCAATTTACATAACGCTGTTGTTCGTTATGCATGTCGTCCAATAAGCTGAGTGTTTAAAGAAAATGCATCGATAATGTAAAAAAAAAAAAAAAGCCTACTGTGTTTCCAAAAGAAGGACAAAGAAGAATGCATTACTCAAAAGCAAAGTTGAAGAATGCTTCGGACACTTGGCAAAGGAGATACAATATAAGATATTAGAAGCTATCGCCAGGACAACAATCAGAGGCATTAACACTTGCAGGACTTTGAGTTTCAGTTTCTCCTGAGGTCAATTTCAGAACTTTAAAAAACAAAACTAATTTAATAACTCACATTGAAATTAATTAGATCGGTGTATGGCTTTATCTTTATTTGTTGATATAATATATAAAAAATAATGTAAATTGTTTAGTTCTGTGTTTTTTGATTAACACATATTTTTCTCATGTTTCAACCATAGGTTTAGCTTAAAACATCAATCACCAGCCGCCAAGCTGAGCTAGAAAAACATAGCGCCCGTTATATTGAGCAACTGATTGCTGCAGTCTGCTTCACTGGATTTCTTTGCAATGCAAAATGCTTTATATTACCCTCTCTAAAAAGGTCCTTAAAAAGTGACAAGTAATTCAGTTTTTACTTTTTTTTTTATTTTTTTTTACTTTTTTTCCAGTTAAATTTGGCGTTGCCATGTTTTGCATCTCAAAAATGCTTTTTTGTTCAATGCACAAATGTACAACAAATATTTTAGTGTAATGCTGTGAGTTATCTTTAAACAGAAAAATGTTTCTTTGAATTTACATCCCAGTACAATGAATTGACATGCTGACTCAATGGGAAAAATTTGCAGGAAGGAGGTACAGGTATTCCAGCAGGGCATGCAAAGTTATTCAAATGAACAGCTTTTATTATTGGCCAGCTGGCTTTCCAGGTGATTCTAAAGAAACTTTGAAGACTGTTTTGTCATTAATAACCTTTGCAATGCCATCTTCTACAATTCCTTTTTTTGATTTCTACAAGTTTGACTTCACTGGAAAGCTTAGATTCTCCTATTTCCGGATCTTTAAACAACATTAAATGACTCTGGGGAGACTTGTTGCTGGGTTTTTACATGGCCTGCCAAATTAGGCAAACAATGTATGAATTTGTAGGATGGATTTGCCATTAAATTGTAAGCAATATATGTTTCTGAAATCTTCAGATTTTTAATCATGACAAAATCACCTAAGCGCTATTCCCAGAAAATATGAAAAAAATCACAAAGATTTGGATTCATGGTGTTGAAAGTAAAGCCTATTTTACAGCTTTGCAAAATAATTAATACTCTTTGAACTGACTTTCTATCGTATTTTAAATAATAAGCTATTTGGATGGTTTAGAAATTGTCTGATAGATCAACACAAAGAGGTCTGGAGTTAACATTCTGTACTAAGCTGCTCTTGAGAGTTACCTCTAATGGTAGAGTGATAGCCCAAACAACAATACTAAGCTTTTCATTTGGCATCTCTCTAGCAGCTTTGCACATATAAACAGAAAAGAGCTAAAGCTCTGGAATAATATGGAATAACTGGGAGAAGCTGGATGGATGGATGGATGGATGGATGGATGGATGGATGGATGGATGGATGGATGGATGGATGGATGGATGGATGGACGGACGGACGGACGGACGGACGGATTCAAAACAAGGCATGTGCAAATCAAATTTCAAAGGGCAGCCCCCCCTGTAGGTTTAGATATTTCCTTGCTCTAACACTCCTTATTCAGATAGTTGCCTCCTCAGCATGTCACTTAGCTTTGCAGATGCCTGTTAATGAGCAATCCATCTTCTCATCAATGCTGGCCAATTCTCTGTCCCATATTGAAAAAAGTTATTTGCCATAACATTATGATACCACAACAACCTTAGACCATGAGGATGTTGTATTTATTCTGCCGTAAAATGGGAGTTTTTGTTTTTCCAAACATAACATTTTTATCCAAAAAAATAATATATGATGTTATCGGACAGTAACCCCTATTCCAATTATCTGTTAAGCTAACCTATGGTTTAAATTTTGCAACTCTTTTAGAAAGGGCAGATTTCTGGACTGTATGGCTGATATTCACCAAATGAATACACTCTTATCTGAGCTGTACTCTTTATCTCAGTGGCTTATTTATAGTTACTGTTAGTATCTTTGTAAGGTTCTCTGATTAATTATCCACTTACCTAGTCAGATAGATCTAGCCAGTTCATATAAATATAATTCAGTTAAGGACCCATTGACTTTTATCGATGGTCATGTTTTGGTAGATTTCCTATAGTGTCTTTTTTTTTTTACATGATGGATTGCAAAGGATTCCTTAGGATGTTCAAACCCGTGGATACTTTTTGTAAACTAGCTTCAAAATGCACTTCTTCACAAACCTGTTCACAAACCTCTAGGGCAACATCTGCAATTGCACTGAAGGTAAATTACACACAGCAGAGATTTATTTACTAAGGGGCATTTAGGGACCATTGGTTTCAATAGATTGTATTTATTTATTTAATAGATTGTAAGATAACAAAATTCCAATGCATATGTCTATAATATAAATGAATAAAAAATGTGTATTATAAAACATGTATATTATTCATCTGATGTTAGAATTATGAGGTACTTTGTATTGGTCCATCAAGTGACATTTGCATAAGGAAAGTGGTAAGCGGTATAAATATCACAATAATGCAATACACATTATATATCGATGGTTGCATGCATCTCAGATAGAAGTTACCTGACAATGTTACCAGTGTTGACTTCGATTGTCCAGGTGCATCTTAGGTTATTGTCATATGGAAAGGGATACCCTGGAGACAGGATCCGACCTGTAGCCTCATCCTTAAAACTACCCCCACACTCCGCTGTAAGCGAAAAAAATATATATATATATCAAACTATACCACATGTTCACAACCTGTTAAAATGCATAACTTGTAATTAAGACAAAATTTGCAGGTAAAATGTGGAAAAGCAAAAAACTAGAAACCTACTGTATTTTTTTAATTTTCACTGCAGGACAAGGTGGAAATTAAAATTCTGACTGAAAATCATAATAAATTTATGTTTTCATCACAGACTACTTATGAAGGCTTCATTTACAGGTATAAAAATGTGAGAGAAAAAAAATCACATTATTAGGCTTTAAACTCTCATGAGATTACAGCTAAAATGTCAATGACTAAATTATTATCTAACACTCAAATCTCCATTTTGTTGTGTCCTACCTGATTATCCTGTTGTCATCTACCTTACCAAATTAAGACCACTTAATTAACGGCAACTGTTATGGTGAAAAGCTATAATCAGTACCAAAAAACAGGGGCAATTCTACAAGTACCTGAGCAAGGACGCGACTTTGGAAAAATGAAAGAAAAATAATTTTTAAATTGAACACACACAAAAACATGACTAATTATTGACCATTTAGTGATCCGCCCCTTTAAACAGAAAGTCAATTAACTCATTTTGAGGGGTTGTTGTTGTTTTCTTTTAGCAGACAAAGAATGTGCCTCATTTAAAACAGAATACTGTCAGTGGCCTTTAAATATGGGAATAGGATTTGCTACTAATTTTTTACCCTAATCTATTACTGGTAGACACTAAGAAACAGATTCAGCTTCTCAACACCTTCTAGACTCAAGCTGTGCAGAGGTAATAGCTTTCCCATTTCTGTATTTTTGTCTCAGCATGTTCTGTTATGAACGCACAGTCAGGACTGAGTTTCATGTACAGGTATCAATACAGTATGCATATTTTTTATTCAGGTCTCAACTTCAAGAGAGATGTTGAATAACAGACTGTTGATTAAAACACATTACACGGCACACAAATGAAGCAGAGTGAAAGCTCAATAGCCATTTTAGTTCTCCACTGTAGAGTTTGTAATGATTGTATACATCCAGTTCTGAATCAGGAACCAACAGAAGGATCAATGATTAACGATGAAATGTTACAGCTGTTTATATTCTCTTATAAGAAGCCAAGCAGTGTGTGTTAATTCAGCACAGAGCAATTAGGGGAAACCATGTGGGGATAAATCTTCTAGATTAATACCTGACTGAGCAATGAGAGCTTGTGCTGAATGATAAAATAAGACACAGTAGAGGGAAATAAGAGTGTAGACTATGGGACACCAAATGGCAAGGGCAATATATGCTTAAAAAATGTTTATATTCAGTTATTTAATCAAACTGTTTTGTCTTACTGTCAAATATCCATTACATTTTCTGACTCTACCTAAATTAATTGTCTTGTGTCTTTTCTCAGTAGTTGCATAGAATCTTTGCAGCGGTTTTGGCCTGAATGGAGAACTGATGCAGCTGAGTCAAGTTTGTGGCCTGCCCTTTTTCAGAACCACCTTTAAGCTCTGCTTCCAACTTTTTTAAAAAGACTGAGATTAAGGCTTTGTTATGGCCTCTCATAAACATTGACATTGATGTCCTTTAGCCTCCTTGTAATAAATTTGACATTTTCTGCCCAGGCTTTAAACACTTGGTTGTTGTCCTAAGATCTTGCTTCAACAATTATATGTAAAGTTCTCAAATATTCTAATATATCTTATAATATTGCCATCTATTCTGTAAAGTGAAGCAGTCACTCCTTTCGTAAAACAATGTCAAAAATGATCCAACCACCCCTGAAATTAGAGCCAGAATGGTATCTCAAGTTTGAGAGCCTCCTCTGCTTTTATTGCATTTGTCATTATAAACAGACACAGCATGTCGCTAAAAAGTAACGCATTATATCTTAGTTTTCCCCATTGTGTATTTGTTTTTCTTCTTTTGGTTATTTTTTATTTTTTTTTACTGTATTTGAAATAACATCTTTCTCTCAGAGAGTATTTCATTATCAGTTTCATTCTAGGCAAGGACACTCTCTAATCATCCTTCCATCATTTTTAAAATGCCTTTTGCTTTTCTTCTAGTGTTGATCCACAGATTTTGATCAAACACCCTTTAATGTCAAGGACACAAAATCTCTCTTCTTCAAAAGCATGATGGCTGAACTGTATGTAGTGTTTATGCTTGATATCCTAGTCTAAACATATGAACACATGAACTCCAGGAATCTAAAAAGTCATTGAGAAGAAAGTAAACTTATGGACAGTAAAGGGTCTACTTTTAATTAACTCAATCATTGCCAATTATCAGACGCCTATTATAAAATTTGATATCTGGGCTCTTCCAAATAGTTTGATGACATGGTGGTCTTAGGAGTATGTAAACTTCCACACTTTATAAAAGTAATATGTAATAAGAATAAGCTCTAAAAAGGACTTCCAAAAAAAGTAAAAAAAAAACAATCGACTGGACTTTGTTTCCAAGTTTGAAAAGTTTATGATTTCCATCCAGGAAGCTTTTTCAATTCAAAATGTCAGAAATAGCGTTGAGTTCTTTATACAGTAGCCCAAAAAGGCCTTGCTTTTGCTTAGAAAGCATGCAAATTGAAAAGCACGAACAGGTCCATCCCTTTGGAATGGGGTTAGTTTGGCTTCTTTGTTAGCATGCAATACCCCATATTTGTCTATGTCTCTGAAAGGGAAGTCGCTAAAGGGGATTGTTGGCCCGGCTGAATAGGCAAGGTCTTCTGTTACCGTGTAAGGGGGTGGGGGTTGCAATGATTGCTGGAAGGGATCAATTCAATTGCTGCCTTGTAGGTTTTTGAAAGCTGCAATCTAAATCCATCCCCTCTGTTTAGGTTGTTTTTTCTTTCTTAACATAGATGGCTTACTTCATGCCCCTCTCAAAACATTAACATGTTAAGAAAACACCGGATTTGTACTTGCATGGTTCTCCCCATATTTGTCCGGTATTTTTTTTTAGTGTTGTGGCTAACCAGTTCTTTTCTGACTCTGTAGAGTTGTTATATGGAGTGCCCCAGGGTTATGTGCTAGAAACTATTCTCTCTCTGTTATAAGTTCTTGCCCTGGTTAATATCTTTCGTGATTTTTCCTAGGTCTATCATCTTTTTGCAGATGATATTCAGCTGTATTGCTCTTTTAAGTCCACTGAGATTCAAAACTAGCATGGCACTAAATATTAGCAGTTTAACTAATAACACTGAGATGCTGGTGATTGCTCCTGGAGATGTTATTCCAGGAATCTATCAGTATTTGGATGACCTGAGCTTGTATGTTTAATAAAGCCTTAAAAGTCTAGGTCTGATTTTTGATAAAGTGATGTGACTTGAGCACCACTCAAACCAGCTCACCAGGAATTTTTTTTATTTTTTTTCCAGCTCAGGAATATCTCAAAACTTAAAAGACTTGTTTCTACATCTAGAGTTGATGATTCATGCTTTCGGGTCCTCTTGTTTAGCCTAGTGTAGCAGTCTTTACTTGTCTAAACAATAAAATCGGTGTCCCGTCTGAAGATGGTCCAAAATGTGGTGGCCAGGGTGCTGACCCGCACCAACAGAAGGGCCCATATTACCCCATTTTTAAAATCTTGATAGTGACTTTTGAAGCTCTCTATAGTCAGGCGACCTCACACATTAGAGCTCTATTGTTTCTCTATATCCCTTCTTAAAGGCTGAGGTCAATGGATAAGAATCTTAACTGCATACATAAACTTTTACTTACCTACTCTGCTTCCCTGTTTAAAAAAGGTAAAGGCCATGATAAAGACAAGGAATTACCTATGCATGATGGGAGGTTGTTGTCCCATGCTCGTCTCTCTCCAGTCATGCATTTGAGTGTTGCACTACCATGCAGAGTGTATCCTTGTTCACAGCCAAATGATATGTCACTTCCTGCAAAATGACCGTGGTCACTAATTTTGAAGCCAAACTGAGGCACTCCTGGATCATCACAGTGTGAAAGCTCAAAACCTGCAAACAGAAATGAGGAATAACATTAAAATAACCTGATGAAGATATAATCAAGAAAACAAACTGCATATCAGGGCTTCAAAAAGACAAAGAAATATAATGTATAAAGTAAAATTGCACCATATTTTTCCACTGATGCGTCTTTTAAAGAGGTATTGATTCGGCTTTGAGAGCTAATTTCCATTTAAACAAAGTTGTGCTCTTGCTGCCCTTTTCTATGATTTAGCAGAAAAAGGATTCCTTTTGCACGCAGACAACAATTAGCCATTTCTAATTAATCGCTTAATTGTCTGTGAACATTTAAGACAACTGAGAAACAACCCATCCACACTTTAGAATCACAGACGACAATAAATAACAGCCATCAACAAGAGAGTGATGCAGTAACTCTTTAGCACAGTGTTGTCTGAACATGACCATGGCCTTTATTTGGGCTCTTCTGTCCCAGGTACAAACCATCAGTGTTCCGCTATGCAGCAACAGTAGCTGCACATAAATGTTGCAGGACTGATTTATAGTCTCTTCTCAGAGCGAGGTCTGTAGCCATGCCAGGTGTTATAGTGCTGTGGTATTGCAAGTGTCATGCCCAGTATAAATCCCCAGCAGTTAATGCTCACATTTAGAAAATTACCACAGGCCTTTGGGTAAAAAAGTCATGAAAACATGATCAGATTTCATGTTCAGACAAGATTTAGGCAGGCCATATTCCATCGTCTCCTTGCCCTGATGGTGATTCAAACATCAGTCAGCTCTATTCGAGTTAAAAAGAGTCATTTATCCTCAATGGAAAGGCCAAGAGAAGACAGCACTCTATTCTGGATAAAAGATACAAGCTTACATTATGCTTTATACCTTGTGCACAATCCTGAAAAAGAAATTACAAAGAAATCCCATTACCTGTCTGTGTCTCTGGTAACCATTAATTTTCTCACTCAAAAGGAAGTCTGTAACTAAGACATTTTCTCTTTACTGATTGCAGATAGAATTATATACAGATGAATGTTAATTTTGTTCCTGCAAATCAGCACAAAGTTCCGATTAATGGACTTTTGTTAATCATCTTTTTTAGATCTTGAAATGGTTTTAATGCTTGGTATAATAATCATAGAATAAAACTGAAGTGACCTGAAAGATGAAATGTAAGGATTTTGTGCTGCTCAAATGTCAAAACACAACCTCTTGTTAACAATGTATGTTGATTTTTGTCAGAACTTCTAGAAAGGCAGTAAAAATGTTAATTGCAGGTGAAACACAAAAACACTTTAAATTGGACAAAAAAAACAACAACCTCGAGCCTCATCAGAAAATACTCTTTGCAATGCAATGGATTAGTAAATCTTATCATCAACACCAAGTCAGCGATCTCACCAAGGGCAAAACTTGACTCTGAGTCCATCTATCACTGGCATAAATATTGCATTACAGACATGCACTCATGCATGGAACAAAGTTCAAATATTGTTTGAAATACACCTTTAATGCCAAACACTCGTTCACAAACATATGGACATGAGGAGAGTGATTTCAATCAGTTCCAGTAATAATTCACCTGTTATAACAAGCTACATTTAGGCAGACATGGACACTAATTGCAGTAGTAGAGTGCAAAGGAAAGGAAGCAAAGGGAATTCACACAGAGTGAGAAAGAGGAATAGAATGGTTGGAGAGAAAATTGCTCATTCTCTTGCTGGAGAGGGGCAGAAACACCACGCTGTGCTTAATGAATACCATGACAGTGAAAGACATGCAAAGGCAGAGGGTCAATTAAAACCTTCTTTTAAACTCTGCTACTTGAAATGCCAGGCTTCTAAAATGAGGCTAAATTCACTCATTTGGATAAGGATTTTGCCCCCCCCTCAACCAGGGAAAAGAAATGTGACTTACTGTGGTATATGAGGCGGAACCCCGCTGCTGTCGACTCATGGTCTGAGTTGAATTCAAGCCACAAGTAGTTAGATGTGCTGGTGAGGGAAAGGCCTTGCATCAGTGTGCCTGTGTATGTCCCAAGGAGAGGAGCTGTCCCATCCTTACCATCGTACAGCTGATCAAATACATAAAGGTAAGAAAGATTATAAATCTAATACAGAGAATTTAAAACATCAGTCCACATTTTAATTCTAATTCAATTTTCAGAATTAGATTTATTTGTTTGCTTAAATTTTGGAGTGCATTCTTATTCAAAACACAAACAAATATCTTAAATGATCAAATATGTTCTGGATTCTTAGAAAAAAAAGATTCCAACCACTTATAGCAGAAAGAAATGATGGATCTTTGCCCCACGTAGCCAATAGAAAAACATCCATTGACCTACTTTATTAGCTTGATGATTGTTAAATGAAATGAGTCAGTTTGCATTTGTTGCAAGTCATGTAGAGAATGCAACAATGGAAGATACTCAGGTCAGATCACATTTTAATAAGTAATTAATT